CACAGCACCGGCCCCCTCTTCTTCCCTCAGACATCAGCTTAATTGTACTACACTCTTCTACCCAACAGGTTCAGTTAGCATTGATGCTGGAACATACCAGAAAATGCTTACATCTGATAGGAGCAAGAATGGAGTCCATCCAAGCTCTTTTCAAGCTTTAGAAGTATTTTCCTTCCAGGAAGATGACATGTCCAATCCTTATTTTGCAGATGTTTTGTGGGTTTTTTGGCGGGAGAGGGGTGAGTGTCCATTTGTTTTTTGAGACAAGGTTTCTCCCTTGCTGTCCTGAAACTCTCTCTGTAGATACCAGGCTGGCCTTGAACTCACAGAGATCCTCTGCCTCCTGAGTGCTGGGATTAAAGGCGTGCGCCACCACTGCCTCATACTTTGTGGGATTTTTTACATTTCTACTGTAAGTCTCTGCACACAGCTGAATGTTAGCTGAGGAGGAACTCATCACTCCAAATTCTCTGTTAGAAGATATTAGATTTTTTCCTCAGCCTCACGCTGGGTCCAGAAAGATGGTCTTCATTTTTGTTCCCTTGCACTTGTTCTAGAATTTTATCTATATGTGAATTCATTTTCCAAAAGGATGCTTTGTTACATTATTGATTAATACGGAAAACTGGTTTTTGCGATCCAGTTCTCTGAAATTAAGAGTTTTATTGGATTTTAAGTTTTATTGAATTTTCATATTTTGTCTTTATTTCTACTGAGAAAGAAAGACGGGAAATTTTGGGCAGTATAAGAGGGGGCGGGGCGGGGGGGGGAGAGAGAGAGAGAGAGAAAGAGAGAGAGAGAGAGAGAGAGTCCTAGCCCAGGAATGAGGCTGAATCTTCTCACCATCAGAGAAGCAGCACAGTTAACAGCTAGCTGCTCACGGCTGTTCTCTCACTGCAGCTGTGAACCTGCAATTTTCTATGAATGTCTCTAGAAATCCCATTTAGGGAGAAAGAACAAACACTAAAGGTTGTGAGGGTGGCAGCATGGAGCTGTGTCTCTGTCTCCTTGCCACTGATGCTCACACATTGTTAGCTCTCCATCATCGTTCAGAAAGATAAGGCGCATCAGTGTAGGTCTAAGGGTGTGTGTCCAGGATGGTGAGGTTTATGCCCACCCAAGTCATCATCATATTTCAGATATCCCAACCACCCCCGATATGTTGCCTGCTCTCCAGCAGATGGTTCATAAGTATCACTGAATGATGAGGTTCCAGATGTCACTGTTACTTATTTCTCATAGTTGAGAATAAATACACTCTTGTTCTTGGTTCTCAAGTTCTGGTTTCTTTAGGAAAAAGAAATGATTTAAATAACAGCATCAGCAACAGAATAAGACAATCTTGGGCTTCAGGTGTGGCTCAGTGACCAAGAATGGATGTGGCGCAGATAAGGCCTGTGTTCTGTCTCAGCACTGCATAAATAAACAAAAACAAAACCAGACAAATCTTCGAGTTTATAGCAACAAGTATCAGGGAAGAGTGCTGTCTCCAAGAAGCAGGAGCAGCAACAAAAAGAATTCAGTCTCCTAAAATAATTTTATGTTGACCAGAACCTAACCTTGGCATGCCTACATGTCCCTTAGAATAACAATGGAAAGGGTCTTTCCTGCCGGGATTGTTAGCTGTGTGTGTATGTGCACATGAATGTGGCTAAAAGCATGGTGTATAATATATTTTTACATCATGAGAATCAAGATGAGCCTGGTTGTCTTCTGCCAGAAAACAATTCTGATGCTGACCCTGCCTGAGGAGCTGTGGGGTCCAGCACTTGTCCTTGCACAGTGATTTGGATGACAGTCTTTCCTACTTACTGTGACCAGCACAGCCCATTTGTAGACTGGGTTGTATTTCCAATAAATTCCCCCAGTTGGCAAACAATAGCTCCAAAATTCAGTAGGGTAGTGTTTTAGTCAGTGTTCTATTGCTGTGAAGAGATGCGATGACTATGGTAACCCTTATAAAGGAAAGCATTTAATTGGGGCCTGCTCACATTCAAAGGTTTAATCCATTATCATCATGGTGGGAGGCATGGTGGTGCTTGAGTAGACATTGTGAAGGCAATATGAAGGCCTAGACTTGACTTTACAGACTCCATCTTTGGGAAGGGACTCTGTCTTAGACCACCTGGTGATGGAGGGCTGTACTCAGTTCCAGGAAGAATCTCAGGAATGTGCCGGGACAACAAAACTTGAACTGATACCCTAGAAGCAGCCAATTAGTTTCAAATGTGGTTTTATGCTGAAATACCGTGCCCCATATGATGGTTAGCAGCGTTCTTACCCTGTGAGGAAAAGTGACGAAACACGACAGAATCCACTAACAAGAGTTTTACAACAGAATCCACTAACAAGAGTTTTATTAAGACAAGGAGAAAGGAATAGATGTGATCAGGCCTGCGGAAGGACACATGTGTGAGAAGAGGGGGGAGGAGGAGGCAACATGGGGCCTGCCTTTTTAAGGGCCAGCTCACACCTGCGCACTACTCCACACATATGCATAGATCACGTGGTCATGCCTTGTGATTACGTGACCTCATAGCCATGGGGCATGGTTTACTTAGGATGTATGACCTGGAAATGACTAAGCAGAAATGACTAAGTGTCTTGCCAGGCATGCGTGACCATGGGGGCCCGGTTGGAATTCCTATCACCATATCCCTTCACCCAATCCCAAAATGCCAAGGCATGTAATTCCTAGCTGGTGGTTTTTCCTTTTAAAAACTCTTCTACCCCTGAGCCCGCTGCTGCTGCTGAATTTCCCTCCATCTGCTGCATCAGAGCATAGGGTGGCCGTCCAGGTTTGAACTGAAAATAAAGACTCTTGTGTGCTTGCATCAGAAACTGGCTCCTTGGTGGTCTCTGGAGGATTCACAACACGGGCACAACACCATGGTGCTGGAGAGGTTGTTGAGAGTTCTGCATCTTGGCAGGCAGCAGGAAGAGGGCTTCTGAAACCTCAAAGCTCAACCCCAGCGACACACTTCCTCCAACAAGGCCTTCTGTCCTAATCCTTTCAAATAATGCCACTCCCTATGAGCCTATGGGGCCATTTCATTCAAACCCACCACAGGTAGGCTATGAATAAATTCAAGCTCAGAAGTGTTCAAAGGCTAACAGAGGTCAAGAAGGCTGTGGGCAGGTTAATCAGGCCCAGCCCCTATGTGCTATGTCCAACTCTGTGCTGGCTGCAAAACAGCCAGCTTTAGAATATGCCCTGCCTCATTAGGGTGACCACAGGAGACTGTCCGAACCGCTCCACACTGTCAGTGTGGTTTCATTCATAAGGTCAATGTTGGCTCGTATTCTCTGTTTCTCAAGAGAGTATTACAGGTTGAATCACAGCTCCACATTTATTTATTGAAGTCTTTACCCCAAAACCTCACGGTGTGACTGTATTTGGAGATAAGGTTTTTAGAGAGATAAGTTAAAATGAGGTTACGGGGTGTCCTCTAAACCAGTAAGGCTGATGTCCATATAAGAAGAGGGAGTTTGGACACAGATGTGTCAGAGGGAAGAACACACGAAGGAAGGATCAATACAGGTGCCAGTCGGACAGAGGCCTTAGGAGGAAGCCGCTCTCTCCACAACTTGATAATGGCTTCTGGCCTCCTGGAGGTGAGAACCGTTTCCTTTAAGTCACCCAAGTCTGTAATGGCCACCTTTGCAGCTTAGACAACTGAGCCTAGCAGGACTCCTTTATGCTAATTCACATCCTTACACCTAAAGCATTCAGAAAGCGGAGCCAGGCCCTGCTTTGGAGGTGGCCAGAGCACACGTCCAGAGTTTGGTGGTGTATGGCACATTTGATGTTGTCTGAGAGCAACTATGGAGAAGGCCAGGAAGCAGATGCCTTCTGGAGCCCCAGGTGAGCTTGCCTTCTGGTGAGCCAGTGGACAGGCCAGTGCAGATGTCTGCTCACCTGTCTCCTTCACAGTTACCCCATCTGCTCCACGGCCTCTGCATGTTGTCAGGTTCCCATCTTCTGGGACCATTGCAGCCCAGACAGAGCCAACAGTGGCCTTCGCCTCACCTCAGCATCTTGGCCTAGTCTCTGCCTTCCCTACAGTCTTATCAGGAAAGGTCTCTTTCCCCATCAAGTGCTCCTCCCCCGGGTACTGGGTATGTGAACCAGGACAGTATAATCCTACCCTCTAGAAATGTTGGCTCTTCTTTGGAGTGTGCAAACTTTGCTCTGCCTGTTTGTGCATCAGCATGCATTTAATTTTCTGTTCCCAAAGCTTTGACATCTGGTTCATTGTGACCCTAGAGGGAAAGTCCCTCCCAGGGCTGCAGTCTTTAGAAAAACCCACAAGTATCCTCAACTCCAGCTCATCTTTGATATGCAAACCAACCAATCTGGAGTTTATGCCAGTTTCCACCTGTCCTAACCACCCAGAGCTAAGTACTAGACAGGTAGGAATAGTTCCCAGCTCTCAGAACTGGCTGCAAACACCCTACAGACACCCCACTAAAGACCTTTGCTCAGATTTTCCTTCGCTCTGCCTGGCACCATGGTTCCAGTGCACGCTGCAGACTGTGGGAGCTTTCTCGATCAGTAGTGCTGTCACCCGTGGTCCGAGGAAGGCCCACTCCTAACCTGGACATCCTTTTCTCTGAGACATGGCCTGCTGATCCAGGTTTCTGGGCTTCTAAGCACTTGCCATGCACTGGGTCTCAGAGAGGTGACCTGTTGTAAAGAAGCTGCGGGGTAGTTGTGCACATGCACATCTGGAGGGCAGGAGCCCCATCTTTGATGTGCCCGTCCCCTGCTGTGCCCCTTCCTAGCTGCATCAGGCCCCGAGCTTCTCTTTGAAGCCTCCTTTTTGGCTGTGCCCTGCGTTTCAGGGAAGCCCTTTCTCAGTGCCTCACTCCCCTTAGAATGACCTCACACTTTCTGCCTGTTTTTGTTTTATCTGCCATTGCTGTGCTTGTCACCACTAAGCAGGCAACTTAAGGCGAAATGTTCCTGTCCCTCACGTATCCACTGGTTTCTCCCACAGGGAAGTGTCTGCGGAAACAGTGCCGAGTGACTGCCATTGGCCCAAAGAGAGCCACAATTACAGTGTGAAGTACGCTGGCATGAAGAGATTGGGGTGATGACTTAAATATCTTTTTAACATAAAAAATTCAAGACAATGGGCAAACAATTTAAAAGTTTTCATTGTTCTATCTCATGCAATCAACGGATGCAGACTCCTAATGTGACTCCTATCCCTTCAGGAAAATCCAATTACCCATATCAACTCCATTCTGGGCAGTTATGATCTAAGGACCTGCCATGCGTTCAGCACAGAACCGCTACTCTTCCCCCGCTGACTCCAGGTGGCAGAAGGCATGTCTCCATATGCAGCCCTTTCGAGCTCCGTTGGCACCTGGCCTGCACTTCACCTTGGCTCCCAGAGAGCTTGTGGTCAGTCCACACCACATTTCCCCGACTGAACTGCCATGGACCGAACTTCCCGTGAGCATTTGTTATGCTAATCAGAGCGTGTTATTTCAGAGGAGTGTGACTACTTTGCCTCTCTGAACATGGTTGCCTCAGGGGGGGTTTGAGCAGCCAGCATCTGGTTGTGCCATCTGAATGCAATAAGGCACTGACACTAAAGCTCTTGCATTCCTCAAGCTGCCGAGGAACAGGCCTGTAACTTCATCCACAATTCTGAAATTCCCAAACCCCCAAACAAAAAAGTAGTCAAAAACTCACCTGGTGGCAAAAACGGATCTGAATCTATTCATAGGCTACATTCCACCTATTCTGAATGTCTAGGGATTTCTTCCTCACAGAAATGCCTTATTTAATTAAATTTTGTTAGTGTTCACTAATGTTTTACCAGTAAATATTCAGCATATTAATTGCACTAGCCCCCCCCTCAAAAAAAAAAAAAGAAAAAAAGAAAACAAAACAACAAAAAACCCTGAAGTTGAAATCCAGTCTAAGGGCAGCCGCTAGGGGATAAGACTAAAAACAAACAGAACTTAAGTTATCCTTCTGGCCTTGGGACATGGCATCTCTGGTGCAGAAAAGGTGAACTTCAACTCTAGCTCTGAATTAAGACTATACTTTGACAATCTAGATTATTCCTAATGTCTTTCCAACAACCTAGAGATGAATGCCATAGAAATCGCTAATTGCTATTTCCACACCCAAGGAAATGCGATCACACTGTGGCCACCCCAGGAACTCTGTGGCACTTTTAACATGCCTATGTAAAGTATTTAACAGACTCATAAGAGCACAGGAAATTAGGGTTAGTGGGTTACTTAGCTGGTTAAAGCTTCATGTGACCTGATGATGCACGCTGGACTACCTGAGTTACATCGCTAGGACCTACAGAAGGTGGAAGAAGACACCATCAAGTTGTCCTCTGACCTCAACATGCAATCACGGCACTTGTCCCCACATGCGCTCTCTCTGTCTCTCTCTGTCTCTGTCTCTGTCACACACACACACACACACACACACACACACACACACACACACACGCAGACACACACCAAAAGCCTAGGAAACTAAATTGGAAAGCTTTCCACATAGCTGTCTAAACTTGCTGAAACAAATGTTATCCATTTTAATACATCCTCCTCATAAAATGAACCAAAATACTAGCAAAACATTTAATTTGAAAACTACAATCCCTACAAATTGTGTTTTAAAAGCATATTGGAGCCGGGCGGTGGTGGCGCATGCCTTTAATCCCAGCACTCGGGAGGCAGAGCCAGGCGGATCTCTGTGAGTTCGAGGCCAGCCTGGGCTACCAAGTTAGTTCCAGGAAAGGCGCAAAGCTACACAGAGAAACCCTGTCTCGAAAAACCAAAAAAAAAAAAAAAAATAAAAAAATAAATAAAAAATAAAATAAAATAAAATAAAAAGCATATTGGTGAATTTAATGCTTACATGACATTTTATGAACTTTGAGACAGAATTTTGGTATGTGGCTGTGGTGATTTGAGCCAAATGGCCTCCATAGGCCCATAGGGAAATGTGGCCTTGTTGGAGGAAGCGTGTCACTGGGGGCTGGGTTGTGAGGTTTAGAAGCTCACTTCTCCTTCCTGCTGCCTGAAGATCCAGATGTAGAACTCTCAGCCCCTTTCCAGCACCACATCTGCTTAACTGCCACCATGCTTCCCACCATGATAATGGACGAACACTTTGAACTGTAAGCCAGCCCCCAATTGAATGTTTTTCTTTATAAGAGTTGCTATGGTCATAGTGTCTCTTCACAGCAACAGAATCTATAACTAAGACAGTAGCCCAGGCTAGCCTCAAAACCTGGCTTGCATGACCTTTTCTATACACAAAAAATTACTTAGGGAAATTTCTCCTCACATCTATGTGGACTTTAGTGGATCATTCTGAAATGTATACCCTTGCCAAACAGAACACCCAACTGAATCAGGGCTAATGTGCTATGAAGAGTCTTAATCATTTGATTTCATGTGGTAGATGCTCCCCAGTGGCCTAGTGGTGAAATTCAGTCCTCTCATTTTATATCATAAGGAAATAACATGGAAAACAAACAAAAAAAACCCAGTTTAGTCCTTCAATGTTGAATGAATGTGATCCCTCAGTCATGAAATTAGATCTTTCAAGAATTTCAGGGCTATTGTGTGAGCTGGGGAAAATTCTGATAAGGTGCCAAAGGTTAAAAAAAAAAGCCTTGAATGAATGGTGGGTGTGCTTAGAATAAACATTTCTTTCAGTAAAAATAGCCACACTCACCTGCACGAATCTAGAAGGTTTGCCAAGTGAAAATGTGGAGTTGCCTTCCACTGGCCTAAAGGAGAGAGGATAGGAAGCCACCGGGAGAAGGTGGGAACAGGAGAAGGTGGGAACAGGGGAAGGTGGGAACAGGGGAAGGTGGGAACAGGAGAAGGTGGGAACAGGAGAATGTGGCCACAGGGGAAGGTGGGAACAGGGGAAGGTGGGAACAGGAGAAGGTGGGAACAGGAGAAGGTGGGAACAGGAGAAGGTGGGAAAGCAGCTCCACCTGAGCGACGCTTTCAGCTGAGAAAATGGGAGACATTTACCAGCTGGTTGTGGAGGCTGGTCACAAAAATCAGAGGACCTGGCAGTCAGCGGTGGGATGAGCATTTTATTTAATTCAACTGAGTTGTACAGGTGGCGTTTCCCACTGCAAACTTTTTGGCAGCTGTGGCTCTTGGATGCCATTTATAAAGGGGTAGAAGATGTTATAACTGTAATTGTTTCTTTGATGTAACCACTATGTGACTATAGAAAAAGTGACCACTCCTTTTATTTTTTTAATCTCTTTGTCTCTCTCTCTCATGTCTGTGTATGATGTGTGTGTGTGTGTGTGTGTGTGTGTGTGTGTGTGTGTGTGTGTACATTATACTGTGGATGTGTGTGCACATGTGTGTGGTCAGGCTAGCTGGACTTTCAGCTTCTAGGGACTCTCCTGTCTCTCACTCCCACTTCCCAGTAGGAACGCTGCAATTGCAGACAATGCCTTACTTTTACAAGGGTCTGGGATGTGAATGCCATCCTCAGACATGCTTAGCAAGCACTCTACCCAATGCACCATCTCCCCACTTCTGCCCAGTACACCTGCTAGCTCCTCATGAAGTGAGCATGTGGAAGAAAGGATCAATACATGATGGAGGAGAGAAGCCAGGTGGAAAATGGAAGCAGAATTGAGAGAAGTAAGACAAGGTAAAAATTCATTCTTAGGAACTTTTTAGAGCTTTCTTTAGCTTGAGGACTCTTTGCACGTCCTTTCCATGAAATAGCTTGGACAACACAGGTGAGTTCTGAAATGAGTGTGTGAGAGTGTGTGTAGGGAAGGGTGTTAGAGAACCTGCTATTGTACATCAAGCGACCAAACATGCACACGCAGTGTTTATAAATGGGGCACTTGGAAATGAAGGGCTCAAGAATGCTTTGAAAGGATATTATTTTAAAAATCAGGAAAAAGACAAATTAAAGTTTAAGGAAAATTAGAATATTCAATTCATTCTCCTAAGCATCTTGCTAAAATCAATATACAAATTACAATTTTAATGGTGTCTGCAAAGCCTGTTGGAAAACAGACCGTTGGGCATCCACCAGGCTATCACCTCTTCAGTCCTCCAACCTGCAATGCTCCGGCCATGGAGAACCACAAACTCATACCACGTGACTGTACAGAGTGACTTCTTGCCCTTTCTCCACCAATTGGCTCTTGTTTATACACTAACAAGAGTTGAAAATCTGAAACACAAGACAAAAGTCTCGAGATGTTATTGGGTGTATTAAAATAAAATCAAAAATAGAATTATTAAGTATGTACACAATAGCATAAGTGAAAGGGGCAGACACAGTGGTTTCCAATTGGAGTTTACAACAGAAAATCCAGATAACAAAGCTTCTCAGGTCTGCTGGAGGCTTCTCCATGGTTACCTCCATCCTACCTGGAGCTGTAAATAGTCTCTCACGCATCTTACACAATTTAGGAAAGATTACAGAATCACAAAAATAGCCCCAAACATGGCATTTTTAACTTCTTAGAGTACAGGTAAAGTATATGATTCATAAAATGTTCAAGTCGTCTGAGGCAATGAAAGAAATGCTTTACATTTTGGGAAGGCCTTGTAAAGTCCAAACAGATTAGAGTTACAGTTCTCCCAAAGGACCCCGTCAAAAAAGCCTTTAGAGAATCCTGTAACTGAAATACCCACACCATTAAAAACATTCCTCCACAGGGCAGAACCCAAGGCTCTCCTGCCTTCTCTGGGAGGTGTGGGAGGTGGTGTAGCTCCAAAAGGCTCCATTCAGCAGTGGTCGATCTGCATGCTCACACACCATGCTCCTTCCTGCAGGACTAGCGGGCCCTACCTCCTGTCCAGTCATCTCACCACAAAGGCAAATGTTTAACAGTCTCAGACTGGAATAGGGGTGGGGCGGGGTGAGGGTGGGGGTGAAGGGGTGCTGGGGAGGAATTAAATCTCCAAAGCAAAAACATTCAAGTTTAGAAAAGACATTTTAAAGCTAGTGGCTTCACGTGTAAAACCTAACAGACTGGATTAGTAGTTTTTAAAAAAATAAGCCAAAGCATCCAGAAGGTCAGGGAACATCTTGTGCATGGGGTTATTTTCGCCAAGTGAGTTTAGTTCTTGCTGCATCTAGGAATTTGTTGCAACAGTCTCTGAACCTGAGTCACTTAGCCCATGTAGAGCCAGTGTGGTGCATATTGGAGAGAGTATTGTATTTTGACTCTGGTCCCACTGAGCAGTGGCCACCCATTTAAGAAACAGCATCTCAAGTCTAGGGTGTTCTTCCTGAGTTAATTCGGCCTGTCCGTCAGGAACCAGGAACACAGAGGGTCCTGGCGTGAGATGATTAGCTGCGCCCGAAGGCTGCTTTTCCTACTAACTATGATGGGCAGGTCCTTGTGCCCACTATGGTTGCTGCTGATACTGCCCTTCCGTGGCGGTATAGAAATCATCCAGGACGCTCTGCAAATAGTCAAACGTTGGCCTCTCCTCTGCTTTTTCTTTCCAACACATTTTCATGATGTCATAGAGCTCATCTGGGCAGTTCTCCATGCGTGGCATCCGGTAGCCCTGCGAAAGTGCACTCATGACGTCGGCATTGGTTCTCCCTAAGGCAAAAACAAACAAAAGCCGCCATGTTGAGTTTAGTAGCCCAGCCCAAAGGCAGAACATGGCAGGGGCCCGGCTTGCTGTTGGCTTCCTGTGACCAGGACTGAAAAGAGCTTCCATGAATCTACTTGTGGGTTGGAGTATGTTCACTTCCCCAGACTGGGGCAGTAATTGAAGATAAGGCCCATACAGAGGTGATTAAATTAAAATGAGCCTTGTAGGTGGGTCTTAATCCAATGTGACCTGGATCATTCCGAGAAGAGGTGATGAAATCACGGACACACAGAAGTCCATATAATGCCGACTGGACCAGACAGCCATCTACTAGACCTCAGATGAAATTCACTTTCCCAACTCTTGACTTTTTAGATTCTTCAGGATCCACAACAGTGTGGAATTCCTGCTGCTTTAGGTCACCTGGTGCACAGTGTTTGGTATGCCTTTCTCAGCAAATTAAGACAGAGAAGGAACTCTGCAGGCAACTTGATAGGTATGTTCTATGAGTATGTGTGTCAAGAAGGCATCAATTTGCAAAGGCAAACTCAGGCATACCACAGAGCCATCATGACCTGAATTAGACTCCCAGAGTCCACCTAAAAAATCAAGCAAGTGGTACACATGTGTAATCCAAACTCTGGGGGCATCGGGGGTGGGGTGGTGGGGGTGGTGGGGGGTGGAGGGCAGCGGGGGTAAGACTAGCAGATCTCTGGGGCTTACTAGCCTGCCAGCCTGGCCTACTTGGTGAATTCCAGGCTGAGGGAGAGACTCTGTCTCAAGTAGACATCACTGAAGAATGACCCCCAATGTTGCCCTCTGACCTCTACAAGCATGTGTACACATGTGTTCCTGCACTCATACACACACATGCACTTGCACACCTGTAAATAACTCCCTCACATTCACATGCACGCACATATATACAAATCAATATTGGACTTGGCTGACCTTTTACATTAACCATATCAGCCCAATATTTACCCTCAGTTCCCCCTTTGGTAGGGCAGATTCTTTTTAGCACCTAGAAAAATTAAAAATATCTTGCACATATCTCATACTTTGAGACCCCGCAGCCCTTCACTGGCTCTCCCTCATAGAATAGAGGTGCTAAGGAGCCTCTCCTGATGTAAACCTCTGAAAGAGTGATTGCTCCTGCCTCGCAGGAGCCCTGGTCTCTAAATGGAAAGAATCAAATAAGCATTATAATAGTTTGTATCT